CCTGTGCCCTCCCTCCATCCCTAACCTTCCCACCAAACCGTACCTACAAAATTCATTAGTATGTAGAAAATGAAATCCTACCTGCGACCTACCTGTGCCCTCCCTCCATCCCTAACCTTCCCACCAAACCGTACCTACAAAATTCATTAGTATGTAGAAAATGAAATCTTACCTGCGACCTACCTATGCCCTCCCTCCATCCCTAACCTTCCCACCAAACCGTACCTACAAAATTCATTAGTATGTAGAAAATGAAATCATACCTGCAACCTACTTGTGCCCTCCCTCCATCCCTAACCTTCCCACCAGACTGTACCTACAAAATTCATTAGTATATAGAAAATGGAATTCTACCTGCGGTCTACCGTTGCCCTTCTTCCATCCCTAACTTTCCACCAAACTATATCTACAAAATTCGATAGTATATAGAAAATAAAATAGTTTGATGCATGTAAAGAAGAGATATTAGCGTTTTAGTAAATAAACAATAAAGTACAGTTTAAAAATAAACTCCTACCTTGTTTTCAAGTGCGCTCAAAATACTTGCAACTTGTGCTACGCGACTAAGCGAGAGAACTGAGGTTTGCCTAAGGAAATTGACAGTAAGGGTTCTATATTAGTCGATAGAGGGATTAACAGCAACAAGAGACTGTATCAGCTTACATTTTATTTAGTCTGAACGCGAAAGCCTTTTTCTTTGTTGTTCTTTCCATCAATTTCAAAGATAAGTTGTTCTTTTCTTCTTCTTCCTTGGATACTCTATAAAAAGAGACGCGTCAGCAAAGAGATCAAAAGCAACAAAGTTGATAAATCGCTTACTTGATCTCTGGCTTTACAATTTTCCGGGTCCAAATATGTATCGCCATATATAGTAGTAGTAGTTAAACAAGTGTCATATTCTTTATATGCTTTTAGAGAAATTTCTGTAGATGTCGCCAATATCTGGTAAGTAATAAAAAATTCACAAAAAATCTTACACACTTTCGTCTTTCTTGGAACGTGAAAACAAGATACTGTGTACAGTGCTGTTTTTATTACGTACTTGTTATAACGTGATTTTTAGGTGATGTAATGTAATAATCGCTTTGATCACATGACAACTCAACAAACTACGTAATTATGTCGCCTAGCAATTTTTGACTTTTCCCTAAAATTCTGATTTAAGCATGGCTTATACCGTACGTGAAGCCTGTTTTCATCACGGAAATTGGATAATACAATATGATTTAAGTGCAAGAGCATTAACTGATTCGTTCGGTTCAAGTTCCGGGCATTATGGACAAGTCGTGGATATACTTCAGAATGCAGGCTTTGTTCGCGTTCGATATAATGTATTCCGTCACAGGCATGGTTGTTATCTTCAGCATGCAATACAAACCGTGGGTATTATCAGACTATTACCATGGGCAGGTGGTATCTCTCCAAATGGGGAT